TTTTCAGTTGTTCTGTTTTCAGATAAATATTTTTATTTTCTATGTAGGTATTCCTAGAAATCCTTCTTAACCATTTTTTTAGAATTTTTTTGCATTCTGGCAGTAGTTTATAGCTTAGGAAATGTTGTTATATTCACGCTATGCATACATGGCCGTCAAGGGAGTCATGGGAGCATTTTTTTTGCGAGGACCTTTTGTTTTAAAAATATAGGCAATTATTTTAGAAATTATGGATTTTATTTTAGAAATTTAGGAGTTGACCTCCTCCACTTTGAAGGCCGTATCGACACTATTAGCATAAGACTATTTAAATCATGCTTTAAGTAGAAAATCTCTATTTTTATCTTTAAAAATAAAAACTGTAAATGTACCAATAATATATTTATAACAAAAATTGTTGGTATTACATAGTAGAACACTCATGTAACCGTTATTTTAAAAATAGTGACTGAATTTCAAAGTAATCAGTAACACTTATATATAGGTATAAGTAGAAAAAAACTGACAAAACTTCAACTGAAACTGCAATAAATCCTACACCAGTCATCCAATCAGGCTGAAATTTTGTCCAGAGTTTGGTGTGACTATTGGCTACATTTGCACAATTTTTATCAAATTATATTGTGTGGTTCAATTTCCACAAGTGTTTTTATTGGTGCACTATGAAGTCAAAATTTGACTTATTTTGAACATTTAAATTAAATTATTTTCCATAGACAAAATTAAATGATTTCAAAATTTGCATCACAGGGTACCTTGATGTGTATGCTAACTTTCTGTATAAGTGACGTTCTTGGGACAATTAGGTAGGCATTATAAGGATCCATGCTAACCGTGAATGATATGCTTTAATAATGTTTACTTCATACAAGGCTTTCCAGGAAAGGCGTGCGGTTTTTTGTCTTGTATGACCACGCGTGAGTATTTTATTTTAGACAACTTGGTCATGGCCGTTTGCAAGTTTTTTAGTATGCCTTGCTGACAAAAGTTTTAAAAACAAAATAACAAAATAGGGATTTAAAATAAACTTAAATAGAAAATAATAATAACAATAATTTAAATAATTTGTTTTTATTTTTGTTTCTTCATCGTGGTTATTATTTTCGGCAACCAAATTCGGTAAGTCAAAGCACTTATTACTTTTAAAGTTAATTCTTTTTTCAAACAATATTAGTAATTTCAAACAATAGTTAAAGTAGAAAAGCATCTAGAAAAAGTAAAGCGGATATTCAAATATTAGAAGCTTGAGGAATTTTCACAAATCACTTAAACAACTTTAAAAAAACGCACTTAATAAAATATTAGGCATTATGACAAACGTCACTAATAGTCCGTTTAAAGGTGCCTTTTTAAAATCAACCAATAAAAAATTTTTATTGGTTGATTTGAAAAAAAATTCTTATTATGCTAAACTTTTTATACATTACGTTTTGATAAAGTTACATTTACGTTTTTATAAGGTACTTAAGTTTTAAATATTATTTGGATATTCGCTATATTTTTCTAGATGCTTTTCTACTTCAATTAAAATTTGGAAGAACTTATCTTATTTGAACAAAGAATGAATTATAAAAGTTATTAGTGCGTTATAAAAGTAATAACACTATTATAGTGTTATTATTTTTAGAATGCAGTTAGTCGCTAGAGTGTTATTATTTTTGTGTTTGTAAGTTTATGGTTTTATTTTTTATAACTTTTTTTCTAACAAATTAAAGTTGATTTGGCTTTCGAAAACAAAGAACATGTTTTTGTATCAACTAAACTTTTGAAGACCAGATATTTTTCCAGATTTTGCATTTCGCTGAATTCAACTCTTGTTGTTATATAAATATATTTTACAAATACATTGCAATTTATATTTTTGCTTTCCTCTTTAAAAAAAGTTAAATAAAGGAAAATCATTCTTTTTATTGTAAACTTGAAACTTTTTTTTTTTACTTCGCCTTATCTAATTTTGTTGCTGAATATAGCAATGACTCTAAAGAAACAAAAATAAAAACAGTACGTAAATTATTTAAGTTATTAATTTATTTTTATTTTTTTCTATTCAAATTTATTTTTATTTCCTATTTTGTTAGTTTAGCTCTTTTTGTTTTTAAAACTTTTTTTGCCATGATTAATATTATAAAACTTGCAAACGGCTGTGATCAAGTAAAATAAAATACTGTTGTGTGGTCATACAAGACAAAAAACCGCACGCCTTTCCTAGGAAGGCTTGTTATACGAAATTAAAAACGTAACAAAAAGTTTTGCTTAGAGTTTAAGTTTTTATTTTTATTTTAGTGCCTATATGATTTCTTTTTGTTACAAATTTGTTTTTCCTTTCTTTTTTTGTTAGGAATTTTTTATTGTTAGTTTTTCTTTTTAACTTTTTACCGAGTTAAAGTTTAGCTTAGCATTTCTACATTCAGAGCATTTATGAAATTATTAAATCATCAAAACATATAAACAATAGTGGTCAAGTTGTAAAAAAATAAAATCATTTGCGTGGTCAGTAATGATTTCTTGTCCAAGCCATATATATATATATATATATATATATATATATATATATATATATATATATATATATATATATATATATATATATATATATATATATATATATATATATATATATATATATATATATATATATATATATATGTATATATATATATCTATCCAGAGGTTGTTTTGTACATATCCGTATATATCCAGAGGATATATATGGATAATTCAATATGAAGAAGTTGTAGTTCTTTGATTAAGATGTCAATGGTGACATCTGCATTTCTTGTGGCTTTTACATGGATGTTAAGTTCGAATGTTTTATAATTATATATCCTAGCTGAGATAAAACAGCTTTACTGGCGTTTATAAATGTTTTTTTTATTTTACTATGCATTTGTGAATGCTTTTATCATTTTTTTTAGTGTTTGTTTTTTTTAGATATAAAAAAAGTTTTACATATAATAAAAAACATTGTTTTAATTAGAAACTTGTAAAAACAACAACAAAAAAAAAAAAAACAAAAAAAAAAAAAAAAAAAAAAAAACAAAAAAAAAACAGGAGATTGGAGACTTATGAGTAAAAACAGCAATGACTCGGTGGTAGATCTAAAAAGAGTATACCTACAAATTCATGTGCATAAACGACATTGGCCTCACCAAACTGTCAATTACAAAGATAAACGATATGTGCTTACACGTTTAGGCTTTGGTCTGAACCTAGCAACTATGATGATGAGCTCAATACTATGATATGTTCTCCAACAAATTTCTGCACTTGCAAAATCAACAAGAGGATACATTTATGACACCTTAGCAACCAATTGAAATGAAAGAAAGTTGGTAGCACATATGAAGAAATCGGGTTTGTATTTTGAAATTGTATGGTGTGATGCAAGTTTGCTGGCAAAAGGAGTTGACAAAAAAATAGAAGTTAGCAAGTTTACTGGCAAAATGCAAGTTGAAAAAAAAATAGAAGATGCGACATGGCTCTGACCAAAGTCTGATGCAATGCATATCAACATAGCTGAATTGGATGCATGTTTTGAAGGTTTCAAATGGAATTGAAATGGAAACTAAGTGATGTCTCTATTAAAACTGATTCTTATAGTGTATTCATTTAAATTCTGAATTGACTTGTGACAAACCTGTAAAACGTGCTGGGTAATGCGAAATGCTAATTTGACTTCAAATATTTGGAAAATTGGCCAAGGATTATGCCATTAATCTAAATGTTACATGGGTACCATCAAAAAAATATATAGCTGATGAACTCACACGAGTGTTAACAAAATGGATAGAAAACAAAGTTGCAACAAATTGCAAAAATGTAATATTTATAAGCATGATAATCAGCAGATTTCATTCAATGAAATCTGCTGATTATCAGCAGAAGTTCATTCAATAGCACACATAGGAGAATAACAGAGACACAATATATGAAATATATTGTCGCTGAATGTGATGAATGTAATTCAATTGATCCTAATGTCATTTTGTGGGATAAAGGAAATCTTGCTATCAGCAAAGTGTAGGCTGCAATGTTACTTATGTTGGTTCTTTGCTATATCTCACCTGTATTGATTGTGGCCCAAGCAGATAAACATTGTGAATGCCATTAAGCGACAAAAGTGCAATAATGGTTGTTCAATCGTTAGAAACAATATGGTCATTGCTCGGACCTCCTTCCAAAGTTCTCATAGATAAATTGTTTAGATCTCAGACTATGCAAGCTATGGCATAGTCTGAGATCTAAACAGATTACAATCTGACACTGGTTAAACCTCGCTTTATTGAAGATCCAAGTTCTCAAATAAATTACCTCAACAATGGCGAAGCTGACAATAGTATGGACTGCGCTGATCAAAACTAGCCAACAAATTGTGAGACAGAGTTAGTATGTTTGGTTCACTCGCTATGGGAGAAGAGTACTTCTTAACCAAAAGTATCATGGTTATGTATGAGCTCTTGTTGAGCTAGGTAGATGTTGTGATTTTAATGTGTGTTGATAATTTGTCAATAATTAGCTTTGCTAGTTATTGACAAAAGTCACATGTTGCATATTTTTATTATTATAAGGTTTTGTATATTATCATTAATTGTCGACAAGTCACAAGTTGTATTTTTAAATGCTATTTATAGTGATCTTTTAAATGTGTTGAACAACATATATATATATATATATATATATATATATATATATATATATATATATATATATATATATATATATATATATATATATATATATATATATATATATATATATATATATATATATATATATATATATATATATATATATATATATATATATATATATATATATATATATATATATATATATATATATATATATATATATATATATATATATATATATATGTTGTTCAACACATTTAAAAGATCACTATAAATAGCATTTAAAAATACAACTTGTGACTTGTTTTAATTATATATTTGTTTTAATTTTAAATTATTACTATATATTTTTGTTTTAAACATTAATAGGAATCAAAGAAGTTGCATCTTAATGATCTTCCTAATCCTGCTTCATTTTCAAAGAGAGGAAAAACAAAAACTTTACCTGGTAAAAAGAAAAGTTCACAAATGGATACGTATCTTCAGCTTTTAAAAAGGAAACAAAGAGAGTTTAATTGGTAGAATTTTTATTTTATGATTGGTTTTTATAATTTTTAAAAAACTATTGAAAATAATAGTTTTTTAAAAGTTGTTGTTTTACTTTTTTTAAATTTGCAGCCGTGGCACAGTGGTTAGAGTTCTGGCTTAGAACCAAGAGGTTTGAGGTTTGACACCAGTCCTAGCCTAATAAGTGACTTTAGTCAGGAAAAAGACATGAACATTGTGAAGTTAAATGCTCTTCCCTCATGCTCTGTAATAAGACTATAAGGACTTCTGGGAGCACCTTTATAAAATAAAATTGACCTATAGCATCTTAACATCAAATACAAATTTTGTTAGCTGATAACAAATCTTTTTTTATTGATTTTTCAGCAACAATGTTGTTGTATTTAAACCATATTGAGTGCACTGCATAAACCAAAAATTCAAATATATCATTTCAATATCACATTTTATATTCAATATTGTCATTTTTATCATGATTGTTAACTCTATATTCATCCTCTTAAAAAATCTTCATTCTTTTATAATCGTAACCTCATTGACAGTCATAATAAAAAGTACTCCTTAAATATTTTAATGCTGAAGTTTAAAAAAATAACAATTAAAATGAACTAATAGGATTTCTTCTATATTCAGATTTATCTCCTTGCTAATAAGTTGGTTTTATATTATTTTCAAAATGGACATACACTAGTGGGCATCAAACAAAATGAATGTAATTCAGTTGACTAGGATTAACCTGTGGGCAATTTTATGATATTAAATCTTCTCATAACTGCTGAGCTTCTAACATTATAAAATTTGACTTTTTAAATTGTGATTTTTAACTTAGATTTACGTCTTTCTTGTTTGAGTTGTTCTCTCTTTGCTGGATTCCAGATTGATGCTGCATATTCAAGATAGGGTTTGATAAAAAGTTTAACTTTTTGAATCATTTCAAAAAGCAATAATTACTATGAAATTATTGTAAAAAAGACTGGCTTCATTATAAAAAGTACTATAACTGGCAAAAGGTTTCATTTTATTTTTTTCAATCCATGATAAGTGTTTCTGTTATACATATATATTTAAATATTGTTATTTAAAAAAGTCAAACCATGAGAAAAAATTGTGGTTCCACAAGCCTGAACTAAATGTCGTGATGTTATCTGGCAATATTATTTAGATGATTTTTTAAAATAATAAATGCATATTTATTTTTTTATTCTGACATCATACAATTTGTTGCTACAAATTGTATAAACTTTAAAAATGACTAATTAAGTGTAAAAGGACAAAAAAAAAACGTTCTTGTGAGTAAATACTTATTTAATAAAATTGCAGAGAAGTTAAATTTTTTATATATTAGGAAAGAGAATTCAAATTTTAAAATATTACAAAGAAGTTTAATTTTAAGTAAGAAGTACTACAGTTTCAGGCTAAAAAATTATACTTTTTAAAATAATTTCTAAATAGGAGTAAGCCAAAATGCAAAATGCAAAATAAAAAATGCTTTTTTTAGAAAAATTTACTTAAAAAATAAATAATGAAATTTCCTTTTTTAAAAATTTTAATTTCTTGTAAATGCTTCTGGTAAGATTTAAGTTTTTGTATATTTATATGAACATAATTTATGATATTGTATATTTATGTGAACATAATTTATAATATTGTATATTTATATGAACATAATTTATATTGTATATTTATATGAACATATTTTATGATATTGTATGATATATGAGCATAATTTATGATATTGTATATTTATATGAACATAAAATAAAGTTGCTTAAATGAAGTTTTTTATTAATAAACCTTAATTAAAACAAGCTCTTTAAAATCACTGTACAAAAGAGATTTTAAAGAACTTTAAAATCTTCTATTTCTATTTATTGGTTTAAATTTGCATGACATAGTTTGTAAATAATCCCAAATGTACAATAAATGTACCAAAAGTGACATAAGTTTGTTATAACTTTTTTTTTAACAGTGTTTACTCAAGTTTTTATTTTTTCTTAAATGTTGCAGTTGTTTTATTATAGTATATGTTTTATAATAAAAGAAAAAAAAAATATTATTATTTTTTATTATTTTATAAATATATTATTTTTTCTTTTATTTTAATACAATAAAAACATTCTTTTTAAGTGGCTTTGTTTTGCAGGATCCACATTAGAACCATTAGTTAATACTAACAAATTACAATTTAAATTTTCATACCATTATGATACAATTGTAATCTATTTTATTGTATTTTCTCATGATTTTTTTAACATTTTTAACAGATTCAAATTTGTATGGGTTGATGGACATTTTACAAAAGTTTAGCTATCAAGTTGAAAAATATAACAAGGTTTATAATTTTATAACAAAAAACAAAACAAACAAATATAACTAGATTTATACCTTTAGAACTATATATATATATATATATATATATATATATATATATATATATATATATATATATATATATATATATATATATATATATATATATATATATATATATATATATATATATATATATATTTGTTTAAATAAAACTTAAAATTACAATTGAATATAGTTTTTACTTTACTTCAATTTATTTAATAAATAAACATCGATAAATACTAGTATTTAGAAGAAGAAAAAAAGTATTTATTTGTTACTAATTATTAAGTATCAAATAAATACTTATTTTTTATTAATTTTAAATTTTTGCTGCTTTTTACTACTAGCATATTCAGCTTTATATATATATATATATATATATATATATATATATATATATATATATATATATATATATATATATATATATATATATATATATATATATATATGTACATAATAGAGCTTTTAAAACGAGGTACAGGTGGTAAAAAATAATTCCGTTATCCCAGGATTTCAGTGAAAATTCCTGGGAAGCCTACAAATTTTTTTTTAACACTTTTTTTTAACTTTTTTTTTAACATTTTTTTAAACATTCTTTTAAACATTTTTTTAAACATTTTTAAAGATAATAAAAACGTCATCACTTGAAATTTGTCTACTGTTTACTTCTTTTTCCCTCTTGTAATGAATTTTGATAAAAATTAGGAAAATCGAGTATTTAATTTAAATAAATAAAACCAATTTTTAAATCAAGTTCAATAATAATAATATTTAATATATCTGGGACCCAAACCAAAACTGCAAAATATTGGTGAGCAATCTAATAAAAAACCTTAATTACAAGAAATTCCAATGAGCAAAGAGGAGTTCCTGAGATGTTGAATATAAAGTAACCACAGAAAAGTTACATTTAGCTTGTCCGTACAACTTTAGTGAATTTACAGTTGAGCAATGTAAGGATTTATTTAGAGACCTTAAAATCACTGATGAGTTATCAGACAACATTAGTACAAACAATTCAAAAGTTCTGGAGAATTGTACAAATGTTTTGTAAATCACCACTCAAAAATGAAGTTATACAAAAATACTTTAAATTAAATACAATAAAGAACTTAAGTTAATACTGGATGTAAAGACAAGGTAGCATAGTCTTCTTGCAATGTTGGAGCTATTTATTGCATAAAAAACATGTATATTAAAAGTATTGATGGATTTTAGGCAGATCAATTTTAAGAATATTTTCAAGGAGCAATATTTAATAAACTGTAGTAACGGCGTTACAACCAATAAAACTCAGACTTTAAAGACTTGGCAGACGCACCCCATTGCTAGTTAGTGACCAAGGCCCCAGCACCGGCCACGGCAAAATTATAAGATTTAGTAGGGGTTGATAGCCAGGGCTAGAAAAAAATTTATAATGCTTTATATATTATAATTTTATGCTTACATTTACTATTTATTAAATACTGGCATACATTTATAAATTTTTAAACTCTAATTTACTTCCAACAAGATTGCAAACAACCACTATTAAGTTATGAGTTACTTTAAAATAGAGAATCAGTAAAATACTAGGAAACCTATAACTGAAGAATGAACATATAACTTGTATAAAAAAAGAAAACATGAAGTTTGGTAAGAGTTATAAGGTTTTTTTGATGTACAAAAAAAAAAAAAAAACTGGATTAATTATCATGCTATAAAAAGTTTTTATGGCATGAAGGAACAAATACAGTAAAAGGATGTAACTTGTTGAATATTTATTCAAAAAGATGCATCGTTTTACTGTATTTGTCTAACAAGAATGAGTTTTGGTTTGTTATAAAGATGATTTTTTAGCATTGACTGTGATTGTATTTGTAGAAAAAAGAAAGAAATTCAACCTTATAACAATGAGAGAGTGGCTCAAGCTTGGCAGATAAAGCAGGTTTAATTACATTCACAATGTGCTTTTAGACTTTGTCTGAGAGTAAGAGGGTTGTTATTTATCAGTAATGGAATGTTAACAATATTGTAAAATTTTTTTGCAGTAAATAAATGAATTTTGTTGTCTAACGAAAATTGTGGGTTTTAAGTCCAGAATTTAAATCCATAAGCCACTGCAAGCCTTAGGCTGTTACAGAAGAGAGATCAGATTTAAAATTAGCTGCTTATTCTAAGCAATTAAAAAGTAAAGATTTTTTTTGTCAGCAAATAGAGCCACTTTAGATTTCATTAAGATTGTTATTGTAGATAAGAAATAATACAGGAGCAAATATAGAACATTGTAGTAAAGTTACTTGAAATAAAGAAGAGGATAGGCCTTCAAGAATAACTCACGTAACTTACTACTGCAGTTAGAAATAAAAAATATAACAACCTCAAAACCTTTATATGAAGAAACTAATAACAGAGTGAAGACTAATTGTAGGATAGTTGGAGAGGTCAAAGTGTTTTCTAGAGTTTTGAACAACTAGCACTTTAAAAAGAAGTTTAGTGAAAATCGAAGAGAGTTCCGGAGAACACTATTTTAAGACTATGATGGAAATCCTATCTGAAGCACAAACTGTAGATATGTTTAATTAAGAATTAATTTTAGTATTGAAAGTCAGAGTTCATTTTGATGTTTAACAATGGGTTAATCTGTTTAACTCAAATTAGAATAAGATTTTTT